TGAGTGAGTCTCAGTACTTCTGGATGCTGTTACACTCTACAATCTACAACTCCTCTGAAACTACCAAATTGGTTTCCACAGAATTTTTATCATAAAGTTCTGCACTTTATATTGTAACTGCACGATGCGGTTTTATGAGTTTGAATGCGATTCTTTTATGATGAGTGTCTTCTGGAAAGTTTTGGGACCTCCACCTTACTCTCGGGTTTCACCCTTTCCACCCATCCCCTCACAACAGTATGGAATGGTAAATCTACAGAAACCCAGATACAAAGTTTGAAATGATACATTGTATAAATCATTTTAGACTTTCTCGTTTTCTAGATTAGACCGTTGGTTTTCCCGTTTGAATGGTTTTACACTAGTAATTTTTGGGGCCCTTTATAACTTGCTGTTCGGTGTGAGCCAAGGCTCCGTGTTGAAGACCGTACCTTGACCTATAATGGTTTACTTTTATAAATTGTGACTTGGATGGAGAGTTGTCTCATTGGCACTCATACCACGTCTTCCTATATATATACTCTTTAAATTATTCTAACAGTGTAACAAAGCTATTCAAACCTCGTAACAATTTCATTTTTTTAAAAGAGCTGTGAATAAATTTATATTCAAGATTGTACAAATCATACCTTGCAACAACTGATTTCAACATTGCAACTTGCAACAACTGATTTCAAAATAACATCGAATCATTTGAACTCCATTTTTTTTTAGAAAGGTTTACATAGTTATTGGTGTAAATGTTTTATTCAAGCGAGGTTTACCTCTCTATAAATGTTACAAAACCAATGCTCAATGGTGCAACTTTGCATCTCCTTTTAAAATACCTGATGCATTTCAACAGAACTTGTATCAGGTCTTTTATGTACATTTTTGTTTTGCATGTGGTAATACTTTTAGGGCCCATTGGGTGAATACAGGGGTTATTATCAGGATTTGAGTTTAGGATGTAATAAACTGAGATTATGTGACACTCTGCAGTCCTTAATTTCGCTGAAATTGCTGAATAGCCCAAATTACCTAAGCGGTTTCTGGTAAGAAGAGTAAAATGTGAAAAATTTACAATTTACCAGACAAATGCCAAATGATGGAAAACCTCATGGCAAAGCTTGCATGTCTTAAACTTTTGGTGTAATCATGACTAGTTCCTATTTTCCCTAATCTATATGCTGGTGAAGAGTGAATCAAATTTTATTTATTAAAATAATATTTTTATTTATGAATATATATATTTTTTATAACAAAACACATCTTCATATCTTAAATACAAAAGAAAATCCAAACTATGTTTTCAAAAACATCAGTACTGAACAAACAAATGATACACAATTTAGAAAGAAGTGGCTACAGCTCATGTGACCTTCAAAATATAACAAAACAAAAGGCTTCCAGGAGCCTATAATCGCTAACCTGAATTAGCTGTGATCAGAATGTTTCAGGGGGATCTAACACAGACTTTGAAAGACATTTTTTTCTAATTTGTCTTAGTTTCAGAGAAGATTTTTAATGATTCTTTGTCAAAATAATTATAAGCCCAATTTGCTTATTTTTAAAAATCAGTAAGAGTAATTTGGAAAAACCTACGCTGCCTAATGGCAGCAATATACAACCATGCTATGTCGTACACTTGTTTTTGCTAAAACTGACTTTTTTCTCTTACTAAGGCCTCTTGTTTTGTCTTTTCTGAATAACTCGAAGTCCTTTTAATTGTATTCACTTTCTTATGAACTTTGATACCTTTGTATAGATGTAATACATGAATGGGTTTATGCATTTCTGATTTTCACCGTTTTTCCCATTAAGGGCCCTTTTCTTTTTTATAACTGGACCCAATGTGTTTTTTATTAATATCATATTTTTCTACTCTCAATAACCTTTCAAAACCTATTTATAATCAAGTCTAATTCTCACCTCCTTTGCTATTCCAATAAGGGCCAGTACCCGCAAAATCTTAATTTTTGTGCATAGTAACATTGTACCAAAATATGAAAGAATCAGTCAAGGGACTCAGCAAAAACCCTTAACATAATACGACCACACTTATAATATTTTAAGAAAACTGATAAACACAAATGAATCATTATTTTCAGTTAGGTGAGCTAACAAATGATGTAAAACTTCCCAAAATATGTATACATACTAATACATAATAAATATCAAGCTATAAATTTGTTTATTCTTACTTTTCAATCAATGACATCTGGTGCATCAAAATGATCCAGTATTGCTACAAAATCCTCTGCCACTAAGGATCAAATTTAGTGAGATCAAGTAGTGATGTATGCAGTAACAAGATACACCACTTAACAATAAAAAAAATATGGTGATAGAGAACAATAGTTCAAGACAAAGCTGAATTCATTTTGACATTTATAAAGGGCAATAGCTCTAGCAAATTTTCCAAATCGAAATAATAGTCTGCTCATGACAATCAAGAGGTAAAAAATAAATATGCCCTGCAAACATCTTTAATCTGGAATTAATCAAATTTATATTTGTTTGTAATTGAAAACAAGTGTGCACACGCTGAAATGATTGCTTTACTAACCATGATTTGTTTTATGTTGATAGTCCTAAAGATAAAGTTTTACTACAAGTATCATATAGACTGAAATTATCAATGATTCATGAAAATCAGATCAATCTTATTAACCAAGCCAAACATGTTCACCTTACAATCATTCCTTGCATCAAATAAAGTTGACCTTATTGCTTTTAACATGTAAGAAGCAGACTGATACAGAAAAATTTAACACTGACCAATGAATTCCATACACCAAACATAGTTGACCTATTGCTTAAAGTATACAAGAAAAAAGACCAAACCATGAAACTTAACATTGAACAATGAACCATGAAAATGAGGTCAAAGACAAATGACACCTGCTTGGCAGACATGTACAACTTACAATCATTCCATACAATAAAAATAGTTGACCTATGTCTTATATAGTATTAGAAAAACAGACTAAAACACAAAACACTTAACATTGAACGATGAACCATGAAAATTAGGTCAAGGACAGATGACACCTGCCAGAAAGAAATGTACACCTTACAATCATTCCATACAGCAAACGTCGTGGACCTATTGCTAATAGGATAAGACCAAAACACAAAAAATAACATTGACCAATCAATTATGAAAATAAGGTCAAGGTCAGATGAAACCTGCCAGACTGGCATGTACCCATTACAATCATTCCATACAACACATCTAGCTGACCTACTGCTTATGCATGAAGTATCTTAGAAACAGACATAATCACATTACTTTAAACTGAATCACTGATCCATGAAATGAGGTTGAGATCAGGTGAACACTGTCTGATGGACATGTAGACATTGCAAGGGATCCATATACTAAATATAGTTATCCTATTTCTCATAATAAGTGAAAAATTCACATAACAATGACAGACGGAAACTTTGTAACATAAGGTATCTCTAAACAAAGTATGAAGCATCCATGTCTTCTACCTTCTAAAATATAAAGCTTTATACAAATTATTTACGCTACCACCTCAGTCCAATAGTAATACCTATGTCTCTTTTTGCGATTTTGTCACAGGCGAGACAGAAAAGCTATATGTTTTGCAGTATATCTGATGAGGATAACTCCAGAGAATAGTTGGAAAGAAGGCATTTTAATTAAAATTAAGATTGGCGAAGTTAGTTTTTAAGAGATGATTATTAGAAGAATATTATGGGAGCAAGACATAAAAATGGTTGTTCTCAGAGCTGGATTATTACTCCTGCCTTCACTGGAAATTGAACTTGACACACCATTTTGGGGTGGTGTACAACTTGCGAAATATTATCCTTGAAGGTAGAGCTTTGAAAAATGGACATATCCTCTAGTGGTAGTGTAAGCAAATTTAGTCGTTTCCCTAGCCACTGTTAATGCTAATGGTGCTGCACCACACCTTCAAATTCAAATGCCATTTTTGTGGCCTTCAGAGAAAATATGTAAATGTATTCTGTTATGATTTTGAGTGCCCCAAAAATATGTGAAAACAATACCTTGGATCATTTGAAAATGAAACAATTTGATTATTGTTTTGACATGTGTATGGTACCTAGACAAACAATAATTTGTCTGGAGGTTTTAATTAAAACTTAACTACAGAATTTCCAATTTCATCAAATGATTGTCTCTTAATAATTTTATTTTTCACAAAAAAACTTGCCCTCATGGTAAAACAGCACTTTCTAAAGTTCTAAGGAAACCATCAAAAATATCTTTCTCTGGTTCAAATGTAAATGCAGGAAATGATGCCATACTATCCCATTAATAGCAAGCATTCTGTGAGTATTGCATGGCAATACATAGTCCCCTACCGGTTAAAAATTCATTGTAATGGAAAGAAATTTTAAATTGATCTATAACTTGCCATGGTGTAAACTACATAAAAAAACAAACAAACCTACTACTAAATTATTCAAACAATATACTAAAGAAAAGGAAACAATCCAAAATGTCAATTATCTTAATACAAGGTATTTTACAAATCATTTAAAAAAGGAATTATTTCCCTTTGAACAGAAATCTAGTAATTAATAAGTATATCATCAAAAATTTAATTCTAGGGAAAGGGTTTAACTGAACAAGGAGAAAAGCTAGAATCGTGAAAATCAAACTTGACCTGTAACTTGTCATAATAAAACAATACACCAAATATCAAATCAATATCTTCAAACATGAAGAAAAAAAGTCTGGAAAACTGAATTGCCGGACTGACAGATGGACAGACAGACAGACAGACAGATAGACAAAGTGCAAACCTAAAGTCCCCTTCGACTACGTCGGTAGGGTACTAAAAACAAACTGAATCATTTTAAAATACATATTTCCTTTGCAGAGCATCAATATGTTTTGCAGATACTTTTAAGTACTGGTAGACAGTTTCAGAATGGTATATAAGGTACATTTGAATATATATATTATATCGGTTAGAAAAATGTTTTTTACTAAGAGGTCAAATTTGACCAAAGCCAGGTCCTGAAACAATAGATTCAATCATTATGTTCTTAAAGGTATTGTAATTCTTTAAATGAAGTGGTAGAACAACTTCATATGTACATGTTGAAACTATAGGATATTTTCTTTCTTCAGTAAAACCACTTGAGAAGCGAGCATCAAATCCTCCTGGAGTTACTGTGCTGCAACCAGTTATAAATCTAAGAACATCATCCACTTTAACAACACCTCCATCATAGGTACACGTTCCATCTACAAATATATCAATTATGATAAAAAAAAAAATTCAATCGTTAAATTAAAATCACATTTTTGTTGGACTCACCACTATTAATAAATTGTTGAATCTTCCAACCACTAAATACCAATAAATAAGACAAGAAAAGTAAGCGGAAAATTAAAAATCCTATAAAATTTGAACAATAAGCACACAAATTGAAAAAAATAATATGATAGATGCTTTAATTGTAATTCCTAATAGCAACAAAGAATTTTAAATAAATCAGGCAACAGAAACATCAATTTCCACCGATATGCAACAAATGAAGAAAAATATATTTATCAAAGTGTCCTTAACTCTTGAACAACATAATTACTATTAAATCATCAAAATCAAAATGAAAAGAAATTTTGGGTTGCGATAAGATTCGAATTTGGCAGAAATCTAATGATTTACGTAAAAAAGAATAATGTGTATTACTTACTTCATACCACTGTAAAAATATTATGCAGCATTCTAGAATATCATATGGGTTAAATTTTGAAGAGTAAAAGTATGTAACTTCAATTTTCCATAGCCACAATGATAAATGGATAGTCTGCAGTGTCTTTCTAGCTCAAAAATGATTTTTAACACATTATTTGTTCTTTTAGCCAAACTAACATTTCCAAAATGTATAGCCTGATTTTGTATCTTAAATTATTTTTATTAAGTCGAATTTCATAGGCTAAATTAGAATCTTATAATAATAATAAGGCAGTGGCTATTTTGCCGGCTCTGATTAAAATATATTAATTCAAGCCAACAAAACAGCCCATTTCTATAGAAATGGCTATTTTGCTGGCACCAGTAATATAGTCAATTTGTTATTTTGCCGGTTCTTTGTGAAGAGTGAAATTTAGTATTTACGTTTGAAAAGTACATGTACTATGAAAATGTGCATGGTCAAAATAGCCACTGCCTAGAATGCCTAATAATAATATACAAATAATAATTCTTTATTTAAAGAGGGTTACATAGTTAGCTATAACACTAATCTTCCCTGAGGACCTCATGAAATGACAAAAATGTTTGCACCCCACCCTTCTGGAATGACTGATGTATATATAATCAAAATCAAAACAGATGTCCTAACAATGTTCTGAAAGGACAAAGTACGATAAGGACTATATTTGGCCACCAATTTCAGCAATTTTTGAAGTACTTCATATTTCAGGTCTGAATTTTCAGCTAGAGATATAAAATAGTCTATCATGACCAAACAGTTCAATGAGTGATCAAGTTATTGTTTTATTATTCACTAATCATGAGCTAATATCAGAATATGACATACCAGTAAAACTTTAAAAAAAACAAGAGGCTCATAGAGCCTGTAATAGCTCACCTGAATTACCTATGACCAGAATTACATATGTATACTTCTTATGAAAATTATAGGTTTTTGTGGCAGTAAATGTCAATATATTTGAAAAAAAAAAATTTTTAACCTTAATTTTATCAGCAAAAATACATATTTTTTCCACCAAAACAAAAATATGTTCATCTACTAGAACTGCTGCTACAGTTCAAATTTGAGCCAATTATGCCAAAATGTGTTTTTAAGAAAATATATTTTTTTAACAATGGCACTTGGAATTGGACCACCCAAAGATCATCCATGTCAAGTTTGGTTCCAACTGTCCCAGTAATTTTAGAGAAGATTTTTTATTATTTTTTTGTCAAGCAAGCCGAGTTCTCATAATTGGCAAAATCATCAAAAATATAGTACCCTTTTTTAGAGTTATTAAATACTTTATATAATACTAAAACACATAATCCTTTTTAATTATTTTAATTAATGAATTTTATTTGAAAAAATTGCTTAATATCAGCTTTAGTCATTTAAAAGGTGTGTTCCAATTTCGCCTTAGCTGTGAATTCCAGGTAAAAAAGGTAAAAAAAATATTAAGGCGAGTTGTGAATTGTTTTGTTATTATATCAGGTGAAATATGTTTCTCACACTAAGGTTTTGCTTGGACGATCAACAACCAAGTTCGAAACAAAGAGGTTCAACTGTATATCAACAGTCGGTAAATATATATACCTTCACAATCATGCACAAAACTTTCAAAATTTTGATCAACATCCTCTGAATAATGCCTGGCATTACTGCCAGATCTTCCAAATGTGCTGACATCCACCATTTCCATGAGGATTTCGGCAGATATCTTTGGTGGCTTACCACATCTGTGACATAAAATTCTCTCAAGCTGACCTAAAATATATCAACAGGTTGACTGTTTTCAGCATGACGATAGAATGTAGGACTATCAATATTTATCCGATTGCAGTAGAATAAGCATTTATATTTTATACAATGTGATTTTAGTGTTGAAAGATAATACAAATGTGTTCATGTAATATTAAAGAACTGGAAAAATCTAGACTTTTATGGCATACTTACAGCTATCTTGAACATTGAAAGAGTCTGAAATCAATATTTTATCAATATCTCATAATGAATGTTTCTGCATTGCTTGGTAACATTCAGCTCTATTTGAGAAGAAACAAATTTTAAGAAAGAAATTTTGATGAATGGGACATGATGATTAATTTATGAAACCTAGTAATGAGATTAGCTTAAATCACATTTTACCTTGTTTATTTTGTAGTAACTTTTAGTTTTTAATCCTACACACTCTGCTCCTTCCCAAAATGCATCAAGCATTGGTTGTTTTCTGAGAATGTCAGAGTTACTCAATATCAGTGCTTTGACTATTGAAGATTTTGTCTTTGGGTTTAGTATTGTACAAATCCCAGCAGCTTCCAATACATTCATCACTGATTCATCTTCCATGAGATGTTCTGGATAATCAGCATCCTGGATCTGTAAATATATCCATAGTGTGTAAGGATGTACTAAGGTGAAACTTAGAAAATCAAGAATTTAAAATTGATGCTATGAGTGGAAAGAGTATTAGTTAAGGAGCAAAATAATCTATAAATATTTATAGGTTATGTAGCTCCTCTTTGGGATATTTGAGTTTTAAAAAATGGCGGGAAAAGGCTGACTCGGACTTTTACCTTATATTTGCATTGGTATTATTTAGGTCTCAAATCCAAAGAAAAGAAATAAAAAATCTGCTTTAATTTTGGTAAATGACCTTTTATTATCTATTGCAGTCTTATATGAAAAGAAAATTGGGTGTTATGGGGCAAAATATTTTACCCTATATCGTAGGGAAAAAACCAAGGAGTCCATAAATCCGACACGAATTCCAAAACCTCACTTAAGTACATCCTTAAGACTGAATGTCTTTTTACCAAAAAGAAAAGAAATGACACTCCAGTATTGTTATATGGTAGCTATATAAAAACAAAATGAATGTTGCGAATAATAAAGTAACCTTCAAAATAAAATACAAAAATAAAGATAAATTTATATAGATGGTACGTAACAGGGCCAGAATAGTTGTCAAATCAGCATGAAATAAAGCATATTTTTAAAGGATCTTCCATATATCAATCCTCAAAGTTACAAATCATTTAATTGGCCTTGTAGTTTCAAAGAAGATTTTAAAATTTTGACAAATATGAGACAAGCACTGCCTATAGTGGCCAGGTTTGTTGCATTGTAGTTTCAGAGAAGATTATTTTTTACTTTCAACCTATCAGTAACAAAAACTGCATTTGGTGGCCAAGTTTGTTGCCAGTCCAGCATGAAATGAGGAATGTTTGATTGAATATAGTATTTACCTTCGAAATAATATTCTTGCAGTTGGCATCTTGTACACTGTCAACTGTTGCACTGTCCAAACCTTTCAGTCCATAGTTGATCATCATATGTGAAAATGCTGGGCTTACTGGTCCTCCTTGTATCAAAATGGTACCAAGCATTTTCCCAAAAGTATGGAAATGTCTATCAACCATTCCAATCATGTTACTTATTACTTCGTAACCATCACCTGTGTCTGAACAAAGAAATTCAATGTACAGCTAGTGAAACATGTCTAAACCGAAACCTGAGTGAACCGGAGACCAGTCTTAACATAACACCTTTATTTGACCACAAAGTTAAATTTCTTTGATAATTTATCCCGTATAAACTTAATATCTGTTTACTTCAAACAAAAAATTTCAGTCTCAAGGCTGTTCAGTTTACTTATCTTATTATCTGTTTACTCAGGACAAAAATTTCAGTCCCAAGGCTGTTCAGTTTAGACAGATTTCACTGTATACGTAAACAGACTGTAAATCAATTATAATGAACATATGGTTAGCATTTCTAAGATAACCCGTATGAAAAACATGACACGTACTCCAGCCGGACAGTAGCCGTACTGTAGCCGTACTGAGAACCGTACTTATAATATTCATTTGGACTTTTCTTTGAATTGCTTATAACAGATACCCCGGCTGGACTTTCAGCGAAATTAGCCGTAAACCGGCTCGAAATATTTAAATTAGCAGTTGTCCGGTTCATAAAGTCCAGCTGGACTTTAATAAAAGTACGTCTGAAAAAAAAATCCAGCCGGCATTTCTGGCAAAAATATGGACTCTATAAAGTTCAGCCTGACTTTGTAAAGTCCAGCTGGACTTCAAAAAGTGCAGTTTGACTTTTAAATATGATTTCAGCAGGGACGAATCCAGCCATTTTCAAAAGGGGGGTTCCTAACTCAGGATAAGGGGGGGGGGGGGGGGTCCAACCATATGTCCCTATTCAAATGCATTGATCGTCAAAATAATGTGGGGTTCCAACCCCCAGAACCCTCCCCCTGGATCCGCCACTGCTCTGTTTTTCTTCAGATGGTTGATTCTTCTGATTTGATTTGCATCATGCATCCCTTGCTATAATCTGAAAATACAAAAGAAAACAGATGACATTATGAATATATACTGGTTATTTCTTTTTCTTTTTTGTACTGTCTTACTGGCAAAACCAAGATTAAAAGAACTGGGGAATTGAGAAGCTAAATGCTAACTTCAAAAAATTTGTGGCTATAATAGCCTAAATAATTTTAAAGTGGCTAAAAATAAAATAAAGTTGGCTTTGAAAATTACTTAAAGTCTAGAAATAAAAAAACTTTCAAAACAACTCAAATAATAACCATTCCTTAATACAGAGGGAATAAAAAATACAACAATACATTTTTTAACATAACAATTCAAAACAGGAAGTGACAGTGACATAACAGACAAGATGAAAATTATTGCATGAATATAAATATTTGATGCAGGTTTTTTATTCTTTTTACTCTTCAAAAAATAAGAATTAAGCTATTTATAATATTGTAATTATTTTATTAATATGTTGAATAAAAAGAGCATATCAGATTATATCACCAAAATGGTGGAATTCAATTTATTGTACTTACCAGAATATGCAATCCAAAACACATGCAAACAGCAATCTTCCTAAATTGTCATTGATGCCAGTCAGAAGGATCCATCTTCTCTATTTAATGTGAAAAGAACTACTTCCAAACATTTGCTTTACATCCAATTATTTAAAATTCTCATTTTGTTCAAGAAAGAAGACACATCTTCCTGTTTATTCCAAATTCAAAGTTTTTTGTATTGCAATACATGAGGTTGTTTAAGGAGTTGTTTTAAATGTTCCTCTTATGACTAATTGCATGTGCCTTAATTTTGAATATGTGATATATTAAAAAAAGAAAATCAATTATAAATTTGTTTAATTATGAAATTTTTAATAAGTGATAGTAATTGCAGAAATATGTTTTCTCCTACATATGGCCTCAATCTCTGTGGAGATAGTACTTCCTGTGACCTTTCCAGACTGAGGTTAATTGAAAACTGATGGCACATTTCTACAAGACTAACTGCTATTAAATCACTGTTATATGGCTCAAGTTTCTAAATGATGTTAAAGAATGAATGAGAATTATTAATTTTATGAATTCATCTAACTAAATATAAATATACTAGAAAATGTATAAATCTAACCTGTAACAGATGTTGCTAGTGTTTTTTTTTATGAAAAAAGTGGAAATGTTAAATAATTGTTGTATTAAACATTGTACTTGGATATAATTCAATCAAAAGTCACCAAAATTAAATTTTAACTTTCCATCAACAGTCTATGTTAAATATTCCATAATGGAATTGAAAATCTAGGGAAAGTATCACATCTTATAGTTTGAACTAAAACTATATTGCAAAAAAATATTTTATCATTATTATTACTTGCAAACTTTCATTTTTAACTGTTTTACATTTTGAAAGAATTGTTCCTTTCAAAAAACAGAATCTATTGTGGCAAACTTTTTATTTCTGTATATATATAAGGGTATAAGATTTGGCTAATGAAATTTTTTTAAGTCTAAATTCCTGCTCATAAATGAATGTTAAATTTTCTAAGACAAAAATCCTGCTGATCATTCTACAGAAAGGAATGAATTTCCTCAAAAGTCCAGCCGTGTTTATTTTCTTGTCAGCATTACAAAAAGTGCGGTTGGACTTTTAAGAAATACCGGCTGGCAAATAACCCAAGTATAAGAAAAAGTACGTGTACGGATCATGTCAGACTGGACTTTTCAAAGTCAGACTGGAATACGTCTCAAGTCCAGCTGGAGTCCAGTTGAACTCCTGTTGAAATTTTCATACGGGAATGAGCTAAAATTATGCAAGTTGATAAAATAAACTATCTACATGTATGTTTGAAAAGAAATGTGGGCTTTGTTGTATTCATATGTAACCACAAAAACGGTGCTTAAAACAATTAAATACCTTTTAGAAGTGAAGAACACAACATCTGTCTAAAGAGAATTTCTAAAAACTCCCTCCTTAAACCACCCTCATCCTGGCCACTTTCATTCCTGAATTTAACCTGAAAAAATACATTCTGCATAAATATTCATGAACCGATAATCAATGATACATTTGTACAATGTTGAGGAATTATATTAATAGTAAACATTAATGGGTGAATCCCTTTTAAATATGGACATGCATTTTGCAGGTTATTTTAACAAGGCATTTTGACCAAAATAAACATTGTTTTACCTACTTGTTAAATCGATAACAAGTTTGAGATAAATAGTGCTTACAAGTCCTCAACATGATTAAAATTGAAGGTAATATAAAACATAGATCCAAGCGAGCGGCTGACTCACAAATATCCCCATTTTGCACACAGTTGTTTGCATCTTACAATAACACTACTGCGTTATAGACCAACAAAAATCAATCCCATAGACCCTGAATGCCACGAAACTCATTTAGGGGGGTTATCAATACCAACCTTCATGTATAGTACACCCAATTTGGATCCCTATAAGATATGAGTGTCATTAAAATCCATTCGGTAGTTTCATAGTATCACTGTAGGTTACCGCCCATACCAACCTGTAGTAAACCCAATTTGGACCCCCTTTAAAACTATATCAAGAGCCTCCAAGGAAAATATAAATGCATGGTGAACAACTTCAATCTATGTAGACTAACTTTATTTGAGCATAATTAAAATCCATTCAGTAGTTTCATCTGTGAAATATTGTCTATATACAGACAAAATTTCACAATGAAAATTTGTCCTTCTTTGGACATTTTTTCATAGATCAGGACAATATTTCATGATACACAGTCATGAAATATTGTATTGGTGGACAATATTTCATAGGACAATATTTTGCTTTACATAAACGTTCTTTGGGAAGTCAGCATTTCAATGAAAAAAAAATATGATCTAAAGAAATCATGGAAATACCTTTAACAGTTTTCTGACATCAAAACTAGATCTCTGAAAACATCGTAGAGAATGTTCCCATAGTGATTCTGGTCTTCTGCTTACTTTAATTGTTTGGAAATTGTCAAGGTCTATTAATTCCAACTTCCATTCTAGTATGGTGTCTCTGATATCACATGATTCTCTAACAGGAGGAGGTCTGCATATACAATATAGACATTGCACTATTTATTGATAAAGTTATATGATCATGAAGCACACTTAAAGAATATATCTTCCTCTTAAAAATTACAAAAAGATAGATAAGGTTCATATTTATGTAGATAAGCAAACTGTATATTTTTTGGAAGAATTCCAAATATGTAATGTCAAGCTCATCTTTCATGAGGCTATAGTTAAAATTTAAGGCCATTTTGCTGAAAAATAAAGCTGTTTTAGTCTTTTAAGGAAATTTCTTTTTTTAGTTACTTAGCAGCTGCCATCTTTGACCACGAAAGAACCATGCATAACAAGTTTGGTTCCAATTGACCTTGTGGTTTCAAAAAAGTCAATTAAAACAAAATATATCATGCACTTATAAAAATGATCCAGAGTGTATAACAAAAAATATTTTTGCCAAAATATGTTGTGTATAGGAAAATATGCAATTTGTTAAAATACTTTATCCTCTAGCTTTATCTGTTTTTATAAAAAAACAAAAAAAAACACGTGAAATGAGCTTAATAAATGTTGACGGAAAATTCAAACATTCACATATCTGTAATGTCATTATACAATGTACTGGTGTCTTACAAATCAGTTTCCATTGGTTCTTCTTCAGAACTTTCTCTCTCATCTGGCGAATCTAGTGATGAATCAACTCATTATAGCTTCTGTAATATAGTTTTAATGGCAATTTACCAATGTGTTTTATACATCTTGCCTTACATTTTTTACCTCAAGCCAAGCAAAGTGGTCATGTAAAGACGGTTTATATTCCATTAACAGCTTTTACAGGACTTGAATTAATGAAAAGACTATACTGTTGGCTTTGTCAGTATTATTTATTTAAATTAGTATTGTATTGAGTCTATAACTAAGTTCTACATCAATGTTATTTGAACTAGAATGCATTACATTAACTTATAGTGTTTACATCATGCTGCATAGATGTATTTGAACTATAATGCATATGAAGTATTTAAAGTTATAAGAAATTACAATGAACCAAAATGTTGTTGGTAAGATATAATCATTACACAGCCACGAAGTGACCTATAATATGGTTTATCGCTATTTTACGAAATTTTCCTTTGATCTTCCTGACTGAAAATTATCGCTAGAAACTAAGGGGGCACGTGGCGTTGCTAATGAAATTGACATGAAATTGACGACGTCGTCATAGGTAAAATAGCGATAAACAGATTATCACAGGCTCAAGCGAGAAAACCAATCTCGTTGAGATGATCAACGATAATCTAAAATATACACTAGCTGTCATTAAATTTCATATGGGGACTGGAGTGATGATAATCATGTGAAAATGGTGTATATACCATTCACAGTTTAAGTATGTAAATGTATCTTTCTACTTGTTTTTTGTCTTGATAATTTCTTTAATCTTACCCTTACCAAAAAGAAAAGTTGTGACAAACTATTTGTTGTCTAGCAGCAATACTGTGCTTGAAGTGTGCAGCTGTGTGCTGCTAGTGATTCACTTCTGACACACATCATTATTTCGAACCCAATGAAAGTTTTTCACAGTGCCATCTCTATCTGACCAAGGTATTTAAACTTTTGTAAGTTCACCTGTCCTATTGAATTAATACAATAGCTATTGTTCAGCTGTGTAGTGTTTTTACTGGGACCTTTAAATTTCTTCTAAGAGAAATCTATCACTCATTGATTAAATAACAATCAACTTTCATTGGGTTCGCAATAACATATTCAAAGTGTATCAGAAGTATACCAGAACAAGAAGTATGTGCCATAAGTGTTCCACACATATTGACTTGTCTTTGTCTTCATTATTGCCTGTTAATGACTAAGGAGTCAATATATATACATGAACAGTTTGGCAATTAAAAATATGTCTTTTTTGTTTTTGCAGTAAAGAATGGACATGCAGGATAAACTTTTAACACAACATAAAATATGACCTTAAAACTAATTCAACAATTCATGCGTATTAATAGGTGTATTTCTGGCAAACTTATGGTACAGAATGGGCCAAAAGTGTGCCAGAACTGAGTGTCAGCACTGTTTGCCGCAAACAGTGTGCTGGAAAACTTATTTGCAAACGCAAAAAGTACTTGATGTAAGCTTGCCACAACTGTGTTCCTAAAGCCTTTCATTTTTGTAAGAGTATTAAATGATGTTATAAAGAAATAATATGAGCATAAATCACCTGTTAACAAGAGAATTGATGCTGGTACATGGCCTTTCAATATCATATTCTACTTCTAAAACGGCTGAATGTTGAATTACAAAATCTTCCAGCATACCATTACTACTCCAAGAGTTTATTTTTCTGCTTATGCCAGCAATTGAAATTTCAAAATCCTTAGTTGCATTTTGCTGGCAACCAACAAAATTAATAAACACCTAGACAAAAAAAATCATGTTTAAATACAAATTGTTTTGTATAAGTTAAAATAAGCAAGATTTCTTCTCTTAATAACTGTTATTCTTTTTCACGTATTGGCTATATATACATGTACTAATTTTTGTGTAACTGAAATACCCACAAAATAATTTTCAAAATAATATGCATCCACAGACGAAACAGAAATATTTCAGGAAGTGCCTTTTCAGGCTGTTACCTGATAGTTATTTTATTGCAAACGCCTTCACATTTTGGAATCATTTTGAAAATAAACTAACCTATTGCCTTCTTCCATCCTTTTAAATAAACATATCAGTCCATTTTGAACATCCTTTAGAGAATATCTGACTTAATACAGGATGATTTAAAAAAAAACCTATCCCTTCAAAATGTACAAAAAAATATCATTTTTCCATGGATCAATGATTTTGATATAGCAGTTACTCAGTACCACCTGTTCTGTACAGAAGTACCCTTACGTGTCAAGGGGAGATAACCAACAACGCATAAGACATTTAATAATAATAGATTATATGCTTCTTTTAAGTTGGTGAGTTAAAAAAAAATTAATTCGGTAAAGTAGCCTAAAACTACAAAATTATATAATTGTTGATATAGGAACCTGAACAAAGTCTGACTGTCTAAATCTCCTTTTTTCTCCACTTCTTAGTTTAAGTACAAGTCCTTCATCTGTTGGGAGGCTTTCTTTCCTCATTTTTCTTAACTAAATTAAAATAAAATACACTTGTTTATTAAGTTTTAACATTGTTATACTTATACTAAAATAGGCACTAATGCATGTTTTATCAATTAGTAGATTTGAAAACAGATGGATTAGGCAATGAGTGAAAATTATCAAAATTAAAAGCATTTAAGATTACTTTTGGCCATTTAAATTAAGCTGTTTCTGAGTTTTTTGTGCCCCCACTATAGCAGATGGGGGCATTAAGTTTTACCCTTGTTCGTTCATACGTAAGTAGGTACATCCCGTACATCCCAAAGTTGGTTTTCTGTTCTCCAATTTTAGTTTGCCTCAACAAAATTTTATGAAACTTATAAAAAATGCTTATTACCACAAAATACAGATCAAGTATGAATTCTAGTTGTGTCACTTTAACCGTTCTAGAGTTATTATTGAAACGTATCAAGGACATCTATGTGTTTTGTATGTCGACATAAAACAGCATATTTTTGTCGACATAATCATTTTTTTCGCAACAACTCGAGTTAAAAAAAATGCACTAAAACGTAAAATGTGTAGATTTCACGACATAATTTATGTCATAATGTTTACTTCAAAGATATATGTTGATATAATTCATATCGATTTTCTATAAAGAAATACGATTTAAATTTTTTATGTCAATATAACTTATATTGATTTGTCATAAACAAGTGAAGTGATCGATATAAAAGATGTCAACAAAATGCTATAATATAAACTATGTCGATAAAATTTATCTGCATTATCGACATAAAAATATCGAAATGTTGCAAACAGAAAGTGTTGTCGATTTCTTCTATGTCGCTAAAACGTAAATAAGTCACCTTTTCGTCATTAATATTTATTCTATTTGACCAAAGAATCGTTGGAAAGTTAGACTGAGAGAGGTTGTCACACTCTTCAAGAAGACACAGGCGAAAGCAGGTGAGTTTGTCTACTGCAAAAAATATTGTACACATTCTTCATAATATTACAGATTGTACTAACGGTTTAATATTTGTTGATCTTGATACAAATTAGTATAAAGGGGGTTTAGGATAATCTGAAGTATTTTGCAGCCCTTTTGTTTTTTTAAGGTGGCCATTTTGAATTTAATATGGCAGCCAAGATATAAAATTGATCCGATAGGGACAAAATTTGGTTTTCAAGTAGATTATGATGTGGTGATTGCATTTCTGTCTTTGAACTGTTGTTTTTCATAATGGCGGCAATTTCAACGATGAGTGAATCAAGCTCCTTGGAGCCTCTAGATTTAGCTCACCTGACCAGAAGGGTCATGTAAGCTATTGTCATCACTTGGTATCCGTTGTCTGTAAAAACAATTTCGTCCGTAATCACTGAAGGGATCGCTTTGAAACTTTACAAACTTCCTCTTTAGGGTGTCCCCTATGAAGTTTGTGTTTATGACTGGCAATCAACCGACTAATGCCGCCATATCTGAAAATAGAACATGGGTTCCTTCCGTAATGCGTTTTGTTATAGTCAATAACTCACCAACTACAGGTCATAGAGGTATAATATTTGATTAGTGGATACATCTTGAGTTATAGTCCACAATGGTTCCATAATAAGGTCACCTTGATCTACATTTTCCACATGAACGACTTATCTTTATTTTTTAGTTAAGATCCATTTCTAAGCAGCCTTAAGTTATAGAGGGATGATATTTGGTCAATGGAAACATCTTAGGTAGTAACCAACATCAAAACCAGAAAAAGGTAGCCTTGACCTTCATTTTCTGCATGACCAACTTAAGTTTTAAATTATGGTCAAAACATGTATCTCAGCAACCTCAAGTCATAGAAGGATGATATTTGGTCAGTGGATACATCTTTTGTAGTAGTCAACATGTGTACCAGAATCAGGTCACCAAGACCAACATTTATTTGCATGAATGACTGGTTTATATAAGTTTACCAAATAAGTCAGGTGAGCGATTCAGGCACCTGAGAAAATCTAGTTGGTTAATACTGTAGTTTTCTGTTTTTCAGGTACCATATAGTAACTGTGGTGTAAACTGTTGTTAAATTTTCATAGGGTTATAATTAAAGCACTTTTCATAATACCAAGAGTTATATAGTGTCGTTTGACAATCACAAAGACAATGACAAATATACTGTAAAATTATATAATTGATTGAAAAATAGTTATGTTATATTTTTAACAGCGTCCAAGTTTTGAGATAGAAAGCAATGAGAGTGACAGTGATGACTTGCCAGATCTAAAGGTGCTAAGACCAGAAAAGCCAACTTCCTCTACATTCATGATCTCACAGTCTATATATCCAGCACAGACATCGCTGCACTTTTTCCACACTCACGATTCCACAGTTATCAAATCCAGCACAGACATCGCCGCCACTTTCTTCCACATTTATGATTCTACAGTCAACAAATCCAGCACAGACATCGCCGCCACTTTCTTCCATATTTATGTTTCCACAGTCAACAAATCCAGCACAGACATCACCGCCACTTTCTTCCACATTTATGATTCCACAGTCAACAAATCCAGCACAGACATCACCGCCATTTTCTTCTAAATTTATGATTTCACAGTCAACAAATCCAGCACAGACATCACCGCCACTTTCTTCCACGCTCACAATCCCACAGTCAACAATACCAGCACAGACATCACCGCTGCCTTCTTCCACATACTTGACCCTACAGTCATGCACCTCACCTGAACCAAGATCTTATGTTCATGCATGAACACCAACAGTGAGAACATTTGTAAGCATTTGGAAACGTAACTGCATATTCTTCATTTTTACCATACTGAAGTACATTGTATTCTCAACATGCTCAATCAATGTATAGAAAAAACAATATATGCTCTGGAGTTAGTTTTAAATATATATAAATGCCCCTGTTACACATAGATGTGTTGACGAGCGAATGTGAAATGTACGACAAAATTTTAGTCGCAGTCCAACACATTGAACTTTTTAAGAATATGATCGTATAAAACATAAAAATGACTAATATTTGCGACTGCTCGACGATCACTTTACAATAATCAATGTTATGTGCAGAGCGGAACATTTCTATGTCTTAGAGACACATTTCACTTATCTTCTGAATGATTAATGAATACCCTAATATTGAAATTTTTTGGCATGTTACCTTCCATTTGCCAGACAGAAAATGCATAATATGCAGGGAAAGGGATTGCGTTTCGTTTGTCATGCCCTGCGACCATACATTTTGTCTTGTGTGTGCGCTGCAGGTTGAAACAATGGATGGACGTTGCCGTACATGCAGAGAAAACATTGACTCGGTCAAATCAATGTTTTATAACTAATCAGTAACTATTGAGAGTTGTGTGTCATCTGTTGACCATTTATAAGTCAGGGGCATCACCGAAAATGGTTATTTTTTAAATAACTAATATAAATTATTTCAAATTTTGACATTTTTATGAAAAATAATTCTTTTTGGTTAGTTCTTTAAAAATTATAATCAATTCGCCAAATAGGAAATGCATAATCTACAGTGAGAGGGAAAACACCTCCTGTCTTAAAGGCACAGTCCCTTGTTTTTGTTTCTTTTATTGGATACCTACTTAAAGGTTAGAAGATAAAGGTTATTATATGTTTATTATTTCTTTTAATTTTAATTGTTCAAGTTTTAAGTTCAGGAAAGTCTCTTTTTTTTTATTATTAATGCTGAATATATTTTTATATTATATACAAACCAAATATGATGTTTTAGTAATGTTCTGTCATTCTTTTGTTTCTAGGACCACACTGTCACAGTCAGTCGTCGTCGTCGTCGTAAACTATTTCAAAGATCTTTTCTTCTGAAACTACTGAACCAAAAGCTAAATGATCCTTAGGGTATCTAGAATAAAGTTTGTGATTTATTTTCTGTTTCGTCAAAAAACATGGCCGCCATGGCTGAAAATAGAACATAGGAGTAAAATGCACTTTTTGGCTTATATCTCAAAAACTAAAGCATTTAGGGCAAATCTGACATGGGGTTAAAATGTTTAGTAAGTCAAGTTCTATCAGCCCTAAAATTTTCAGATGAATCTAACAACCCATTGTTGGGTTGCTGCCACTAAATTGGTAATTTTAAGGAAATTTTGCAGTTTTTGGTTATTATCTTGAATATTATTATAGTTTATACACAACACATTGTAAAGAAAGACTTTTATTATATAACATTATAACTCTAAACATCATTATCTAAATTAAACACCATAACATACATGTAACAATAAACATTTCTATAACTTAAAATGTTTCTTGGGGCTACTCATTCATTGAAAAATTTAACCTTTAAATTTTTAAAATACATAACAATGATGGGGAGATCCCTGCAGCAAACTTAACTGTATGAAATGTCACCTGGGTCGATCCCGGCAGGTGTGAGCTACTTGACTAGAGAAATTAAACTTAACTGTATGAAATGTCACCTGGGGCGATCACGGTAGGTGTGAGCTACTTGACTAGAGAAATTACCGACCTGGCAGGAATTAACCCATCTGATGTATTATTGAATTGGGGGAGTATAATTCCCCTTGAATTATAAAGGCCAAATGAGTGAATTCATAATGATGAATGAGTGAAAGCCCCCCAAGAAATAATACCATATAAAAATATAAATTAGTTATAAGAAAACTATGACAAAGACTCAAAGATACATTTAACAAATAAACTTCTTATAAGTCCTGATGTTTTGTCTTAAGAATGACTACGAAACTTTAGTTATAACCAAGGCATAACTGAGTCGTCCAAATAATGAATAAACGCATTGCATCAGAGTCACTTTAAAGAAAGGAAGAGAAAGTATACGGCTCCCATTCTAAAGTTACTTTGTTACTTATACTAAGGCACCACTGGTTCAAACTGTTCTTTAATTATCAGTCTTGGTGTTCTAAGTTTCACACCAAAAGCAAAAGTACTACACTGGTATCAACATCACTGATTACTAGGCACTTCAGATTTCATCCCTAATTCAACAAGTGAATATTTCCAGTTCATCGAAGAGAACCAAAGACCGATGTTAAAATGCACAGTGTTACAGTATCTATGAAACGTGAGGAAAACTCCTGTTGATAACATGTTGTACAAACACTGTAATAAGGATGATGTAAATGTTGGCCTGTTCATAGAAGCCTACATGTAAGTTGTTTATCTTGCTCCATGCAAATAGAAGGTAATCGTTCGATCCCTGTTGTGGTGTAGTTATGACAAGCAAATAATGATATCAAAACCTAGCTATATATAATTGCAATTCTTTTCGATTCTTTCAGTGTGTTATAAAGCATATCAAATGGTTCTTGGTGGTAGTAGGAAGACAGTTTATGGAACTCTGTATGCCCCTAATTCGAAATGATACAAACTTGTACATTTGATTAAATTTGTTGCGTTTAATGCTTAACGAAAGTTACGTTACTGTCGTTCTAACACATTATTACTATGATGGCAGGAATCAAGGTATTGCTTTCCTTTATGTTTCGATTCTATATACTTCTGAAGTCTGCATCCGAATAAGATAGGTTATTAATATCTGTATCTGTATCTGTATTTTTTCTGTAAATAAAGAAAAAGAAAAAACGACCTGGGAAGTCCCAGTAGTCCTAAAATACTCCAGAGAGATTTAAGTGTAGATCCCGGCGGAGTTAAAAATAATACATTAATACGTAATAATTAAGATAATAAACAACCTGTGGCGATCCAACAGGTGTATTGCAATATATATAAAGAGAATGAACGACCTGGGGCGATCCCGCATGTGTAGTACAATATATATAAAGTGAATGAATGACCTGTGGCGATCCAGCAGGTGTGCAATAAATAAAGAGAATGAATTACCTGTGGCGATCCAGCAGGTGTAGTGCTATATATATAAAGTAAATGAATGACCTGTGGCGATCCAGCAGGTGTAGTACAATATATATAAAGTGAATGAATGACATGTGGCGATCCAGCAGGTGAAGTACAATATATATAAAGTGAATGAATGACCTGTGGCGATCCAGCAGGTGTAGTGCAATATATAAAGAGAATGAATGACCTGTGGCGATCCAGCAGGTGTAGTGCAATATATATAAAGAGACTGAACGACCTGTGGCGATCTAGCAGGTGTAGTGCAATATATATAAATTGAATGAACGACCTGTGGCGATCCAGCAGGTGTAGTACAATATATATAAAGTGAATAAATGACCTGCGTCGACCCAGAAGGTGCAGTGCAATATATATTAAGTGAATGAATGACCTGTGGCGATCCAGCAGGTGTAGTGCAAAATATATAAAGTGAATGAATGACCTGTGGCGATCCAGCAGGTGTAGTGCAATATATATAAAGTGAATGAATGACCTGTGGCGATCCAGCAGGTGTAGTACAATATATATAATGAGAATGAATGACCTGTGGCGACCCAGCAGGTGTAGTGCAATATATATTAAGTGAATGAATGACCTGTAACGATCCAGCAGGTGTAGTGCAAAATATATAAAGTGAATGAATGACCTTTGGCGATCAAGCAGGTGTAGTACAATATATAAAGTGAATGAATGACCTGTGGCGATCCAGCAGGTGTAGTACAATATAAATAAATGAATGAATGACCTGTGGCGATCAAGCAGGTGTAGTGCAATATATATAAAGAGACTGAACGACCTGTGGCGATCCAGCAGGTGTAGTGCAATATATATAAAGTGAATGAATGACCTGTGGCGATCCAGCAGGTGTAGTACAATATATATAAAGTGAATGAATGACCTGTGGCGATCCAGCAGGTGTAGTGCAATGCAAATGAAATGAATGAATGACCTGTGGCGATCCAGCAGGTGTAGTGCAAAATATATAAAGTGAATGAATGACCTGTGGCGATCCAGCAGGTGTAGTGCAATATATATAAAGAGAATGAATGATTGACCTGTGGCGATCCAGCAGGTGTAGTACAATATATATAAAGAGAATGAATGACGTAGTGCAATATATATAAAGAGAATGAACGACCTGAAATATAATACAATGTATTACTTTACTGTATGAAATGTCCACCTGGAGCAATCTAGAATAGAGATATAAACGTGATAAATACTGTGTGCTACATGTACTATGTGCTGAAATATAATACATATAAATACATATTGATTGATTATACTGTACGAAATGTTCACCTGGAGTGATCCCGGCAGGTGTAGAGCAATCTAGAATACAGATATATATATACTGTGTGCTACTATATGCTGAAATATAATACATATAAATACATATTTATTACTTATACTGTACAAAATATCCACCTGGGGAGATCCCGGAAGGTGTAGAGTAATCTAGAATAGAGATATAAATAATGTGTGCTACTATGTGCTGAAATATACTACATATAATATATAGTATTACTTATACTATGTAACTGCTGTTAATACATAGATATAAGGAGATGTATGTTTTGTTTATTAATAAAATACATAAATATTACTTATACTTAACAAAGGCAAAGTTTCAACCAATACAATATATTCAGTTGCATATTTTTAAGAAGTGCAGACGTATATATGTATATCCTTTACGTGTCCTCGAATCTCCATGCTGTTCTTCACTCCCTGTTGCAGTAGTATGGTAAACACCCAATGTGTAGTGTATGATCTAAGAGTGCCGTATGTGCTGTAGAACTAGTATTGATCGTTTTTGGAAAGACTTGCGGAATTTATATATAGTTGCAAGGACTAATCTTGAACTACTGATTTGACACCTGTTTACTGTTGATTACCGTATGACGACATCTTCTTCTTCTCCTGGTACGGAATTGACCTCATACTAATGTGATAATAATAACTCCGCTCGGTAAAGCAGGAGGCTTCTTCATTGAATAAAGTAAATAGATGTTCTTTAATTAAATATAGTCATTGGGTTGATGCTGTAATATTTTTGTTTCCACCAAAGGCAGTGGCTCAGCAGAATAACCGTAACAGATTCGTATGTATCCTCTTGTATCACGATCACTGACTTCCCGAGCCTGGGCGGTAGGAACATGCTTATCAGCTGCTTATTCAAAGACGGTGAGGCGTTGAAGATCCGACGCAATTGAATAACTGCCTGTAAAGCTGGGATTGTGATTGGTACTGATGTAGCAGGAGTACAACTGTAGTGTTGCCGACAAAGTAGTTAAAACTGGCCAACCCAAAACTAGTATGTAATGATACTGTCATTTTTGAATATTGTTTGACAAACAGTTATTTGTTTATTCAAAGCTGTAGATTAAAACGTTGAACGAAAGTTTACACATTTAGTCTACTCAATTGTCGTTCTAATCCCATTTGTTTACATTTTTGCGGTGCATTGTGGGATCGCGCACTGGTCAATTAACTTCTAACATGGTGTCAAAAAATCGAACTAAAGTCAATAAGCCATTCTCCTAGCGTTAGTTGGGCATTTAATGTCCTTTGTTCTCAGCTCTGCACGAAATCTAGTTTAATTCCAGTTTCGAAAGTTCTGGATCATAAGACGAATGTTTCTGTTACCTGGGCGTTACCCATGGCACACTTGGAAAAGTGATAATTGAGGAGATAATCATTACTCAATCAAATGAACGATATCCAATCACTATTTCAAAGTAACGTATATCCATGTCAATTAATTGTTAACATACGGATATTAAATAGATTTTCGAATATGGTTCGAAAACAGTAAATAATAGCTGATTAACATACATATGATACACGTGTAGGTAAGTTTGTCAATCTGATAATGAGGTCATCAAAACACATACTCCCTCTAGTAGTAAACAATAATAGAATCTAAAAATATATGACAGAGGCTTCTAAACTCTAGATAGAAGATACATTGTGTTGTGTATAAACTATAATTTAATAAATCAAATTTTCTATAAAGATGAACTGTAAACAGCAATAATGTTCAGCAAAGTAAGATCTACAAATAACTTTTATATGATCCAAATTGTCAATTGACCCCTTAAGGAGTTATTGCCCTTTTAAGACAATTTGACACAATTTGTTTATCATGTTTTCTAACTTTAAAAAATATTCTCCTCTGAAACTACTGAACCAAATTAAACCAAACTTAAGCTGAATGATTCTTAGCCTTATCTAGTTCGTGTTTTATTTTCTGTTTCCTCAGAAAACATGGCCGCCATGGCAAAAACAGAGCATAGGGTAAAATGCAGTTTTTGACTTATATCTAAAAAACTAAAGCATTTAGAGCAAATCAGACGAGAAGTTTAAGTATTCATTAAGTCAAGGTGTACCTGCCCTGGAATTATCAGGAAAATTGGGTATCTGATTTTTAGGTTATTGCCCCTGAACTGATTATTTTAAGGAAATTTTGCAGTTTTCTGATATTATCTTGAATATTATTATAGATAAAGATAAACTGTAAACAGCAAAATGTTCAGCAAAGTAAGATCTACAAATAAGTTTTTATATGACCAAAATTGTCAATTGACCCCTTCAGGAGTAATTGCCCTTTAAAGACAATTTTTTCACAATTTGTTCATCTAGTTTGCTTACTTTAAAAAATCTTCTCCTTTGAAACTGATGAATCAATTTCAGCCAAACTTGGGTTACTGTTTGATAAAAAGTACTTAAGTTACATGGCTCTTCTGTTTTAAAGAACAGTTTTCCCATTATAACTTGCAAATTTATGCTATTTGTATTTAAGATATAACTATATTTAAGGTGTTTCAAAAATAACATTGATCACATAATGTCCTTTGCATAGCAGTTTATATGACATTTGGTTTCATTTTTTTTTATTCTTTTCATCCCCATTTATAATAAATGTTCTACTATTGGCTGCTGTGCCCTTAACATGAAAGACTTAAACGTTTGCCAAAAACAAGATTCAATATTTTTTTAACGAAAGGGCAACTGATAGAATGCAGTATTTAAATGCTAACTATGAGTAGCAATATGTCGTAAAGAACACCACAACTACAACTATTATTCGTACTGCATTTTTTATATTTTTGTTAATAAAAATTACCACTGTATATTTTGCTATATATCATAACAACACCTTGCCTTGGAGAATAAGGGTATTTCAGTTTCGTTTTGTTAATTTATGCAAATAAAGTTGATGTTTTGTGACCACCTTCACATCCCAAGAACTGCTAGTCTTAGGTTGATGAAACATTGTAAGTACTGGATTAGCACAGCTGCATTTCCATCATATGACATTTCTTTGTATTTTGATCGAGCAACTATTCTTGATCAAAATATTTAGCAATGTTACCGATATCTCAAGAACTGTATGTTTAGATATTATAAAACCAAAGAAATTCTGAGGTAAATAAAACTTGATATTCAGTTCAAGTAAATGCACAGTTGCATTTTCATCATGTGACCTTGATTATCAATAGAGTGACTTTTGAGTAAGGTTAGCTTTTGCCATCACTTGATTCAGAGGAATTGATGTTTGGAAAATTTAACAGATGGACACCACATTTTTTGGCTCTTCGTAGAGCGTATTGGTGTAGCATTGTTTCTTTGTGTGTTTTCTTAGTTCCTTTGTGGACTTTGGTTTTATGTCAGTTTCAATGCCTTGCCGTTGTGTAATTTCGCAGACCTGTTTGAATTCCATTTTAATAACTAATCATTCTGGGCTCCTCATGAGCTACAATCCAGTTCATCTTTCGACAGTTTGGAGAAAAGGTGCTTGTTTTTTTTTTATACCCATGTTCCTTAGAGTATGATGTATATAAATGATATGGGGATTTTTGATTCTTCAAAATAAAAACAAAAAACATGGACACCTGGCTAAAAATTGATCATAGGGGTAAATTACAGTTTTTTTCTACATAAGTCAAAGCCAAGACAGATATCAAAATTATACCTGGGAAAAATGATCAGCACCCCAAGATATATCTTACCTTTATAATTTGAAGATCATAGATGTGGTGACCCATATGTAAGTTATAGCCCTATTTACGATTTTTTTTTCTGACGTTTGTACTTATTTTGCTATGCACACCAAAAGCTATTTGGGTTAGGGGAGTAATATGAATATTGTAAATTGCTAAGGACATCAAAATCTATAAGTTATAAAAAATATTTTGAAGTTAGAATTTGTAGGATGTCAGTCCTCTTTTCGATTTATAACCCCTTTTATTGTGTTTTTGTCTCGCCTGCGAAGCAAAATCGAGACATAGGTATAGTTTAACCGACGGCGGCGTTAAAATTTGCGACCAAGTTTGGTCATTAGGTCCATATCTCTGAAAGTATTAGGCCTAAACTTTCAAAATTTGGTATGAAGATGCCCCAAAACAAGTACTTTCCAGTCTGATGTGTGTCATTGATCCTTGTCCTACTTTTTATGCTTGAATGACCCTGAATAACTTAGTCATTTTTTTGTAAATTTTGCGACCAAGTTTGGTGATTAAGTCCATATCTCATGATCAAGAACTAAATGTCCTAGGTTGCTGATATTTGGTATGAAGGTCCGAACTATCAGGGGATATCAGTCTGACATCCGTCATTTGACCTTGATCTTGTTTTCATGGTTGATAGACTTTGACAATTATGCGACCAAGTTTGGTGATTACGTCCATATCTTAAGAACTAGGAGGCCTATGTTAATATTATTTGGTATGAAGGTTCCCTCCTACCAGGGGATGTCAATTTTTTACACCCGTAATTTTACTTTGACCTTGTCTTCATGGTTGATTGACTTTGACAATTT